CCCCCCCTTGCTATTATCTGGCCTCCCTCCATTCGCCCACTGCCCCCTGGACACGCCTGTGTCTCCAGCGTCCGGCCGTCACTCCACTCAACATCTCCGTCTGCTCTGGATGTCGAGTGCAAACCTCTCGATTTTATACTTTCATTTTTCATTATTCCTTTTAAAGAGCCGGCGTGCTCTGCAGAGCTTGAGTGTATGTAAGCAGTTTCTAAAATCGGAGCAATGCTTCAACCTTTTCAAAAAATGAAAGGGGGAAGGAAAAAAAAACAAATCTAGGGTGGTACCCATCCATACCACGATTGACTGAGGTCGTCCTGAGTGGCTTGTGAGGCGGCTTCAAAGACCAAGGCGTCCTGCTGCTGAATGGTGCCCTCTGCTGGCTGTACACATGCGCTGCCTGTGCGTTTGAACTCTCAAAAGGCCACCCCCCCCACCCCACTCCTATGAACTTCCCCCAGTGGCATTTTCTGAATGTACTGCCAGTCATTGTACAGCTCAGGCTGTTCGCCATTAAACAAACCTCTGAATGTACTCTGGGGGGGGGGGATGATACCGTTTTCAGCGATATTAGAGCTACTGCCAAAAAGGAAGTGGGGGTACCCCCCCCCCTCCATCCTGGACTGACCTATCTTCTCGTTTTTATTGCTGTTATCTTTGCAATGACGTTTCTTTCTGAGAAGGGAGGGGGGTGGACCTGGTAAACTGGGTACTACCATTCATGATGTGCCAAAGTTGGGGGGGGTGGTGGGGGGAGTCATACTGGAAGGTTTAGCATACTGCAGTGGACCCTGGAAGGTTTAGCATACTGCAGTGGACCCTGGAAGGTTTAGCATACTGCAGTGGACCCTGGAAGGTTTAGCAGTTCCTGTGGGCACACCCCCGCATTTACAGATTGTACAGCCTGCCTACGTCGAGGCTGGGGCCAAACCTTGTGCACTTTAAAGACAAGGAAGATGGACTCCTGGGTCACATGACCCTGAGAGCTGAACCGGACTCTGATGCGTCTCTTGCCAATAACCACTAGACCAGACATCCAAGACAGGAGATTCCCACCTACTATAATAAACCGGAATACCACATACAGAGACGCATTGCAGAAAACAAGCATTTGTATGAGAAACCGCTCCTCGGAAACGTGATTCACCCTTTTGAGGACATTTACATTGTGTGATGTCACATGGTGATTTTTTTTTAATTTGCAGTAAAAAGATGCACATATTTAATATTCAGTGTTTTTATTTCGGTAAAACATAGGCCTGGGTTCACCCTGGAAAATCGGCTGTTTTTCGGTAATCTTTTTAAACGCTGCTTTTCCGTAGTCAAAGAAAACGAACGAGCCAGTTTATCAGACACGAGTCTGAAACGTGGCCTCTCTGAGCGCTCAGTCCTCAGCGTGTCGTTCCTCTGTCTGCCAGCGTTCGTTCATCACGATTTCTTTGCCGTCATTTATTTTTACCAGCCGCGTTCGGTTCCCCATGTTCAGGTTTTATAATAACTTGAAGCTTCATTTTTGCACTGGTTCCTTCTCCCTGTCGTAAACTTGAACCGTCTCTGGCTGACGGCTGACCTACCCCCTCTCTCCAGGTGGGCAGTCTTCAGGTTGCAGTAAATGTTTTTTTTCCCTTCCTTTTCCTATTTTTGTAAGTTTTTTTGTCAAAATGCTTTGTGTAACATATAAAAGCAGTGGTGTGCAATTAATTTATACTTTATTAAAGCATTCTATTGATATTTTTTTCCACTGTTCAGTAATTAACCTCATGTCCATTCTTGTGAAACGTTTTATAAAAGCCAGTATTAACAAGAAAGATTTGGTGACTTTATTGTTGTACAAGATGTGATTTTTTTTTTTTGACAGCTTCACAAATTTGATTACTTGATTAAACAAGCCCAGGAATTGTGAAAAATCGTGGGTTTCAAACCACATCTAATTAACGTAAAAAATTTGAGTGACAGTCTTAGTCTCTTCCGGAAGAGAGATGCGTGAAGCTGTCCCCCCACGCTGAGCCTGAGAGCTTCTCACGGCAGTCTGACTGTAAACAGAGGACCCTCCAGGTTTTCATTCACGTCCCTCATGCGGAAATACCTACGTCATCCATCCAGGATGGATTTCTTACATTATGCTAGAACTATTAACTATGAATGATTATTTTTTCATTGGACTGGGGTTGGGACGACACGTATTACACACTGAAGAGGTAGCTTTTTGTTTTTACAGCCTAGTTGCCGGAGCCTTTTCAATTACCTTTGTTTCTTCTGCACAGCAAAGACCACCTATATTTCCCACGGACCCATGGTCACAGTCGCCGCTGGAGGACCGTCAACAACTTTCGATTTATTTAGTCTCGTATGATGTAAAATTTTAACAAAACATAGCATGCTTCTATCCAGAGTACAGTAAAGACACAGGTGCAAAACCAACAAAAAAAAATGAAAAAAAAAAAAATCAGATAATGCAAATGAGACGTTTGTTCAGATGTCTTTTTTTCCCCCAAAATGTACAATTTAACAAAAAGTACAAAAAAACACAAAATATTTACAGTAGTTGTATGGCCTTCTCATTTGACTCTCTTTGGTGTCACTACTGACCTGATGGTTTAAAATGAACAAAGATGACGATTAACAAACCTTGAGCGTTAACCTTCAATATGGAAACTACGATGTATCCTAACGAAGAATCCTAACGACGGGGAATGGCGGCCAGTAACCGTCTATTTTATACAGTCTCAGCACCATCTATTCTTCTATGTGATCCAACATGAAATCGAAATGGATAATAAAAAATTCCAAATTTATTATACCTACCTAAATGTATGCAAAAACACTCCTAAACTCGTCCCGCACGTCATAAATAGAGGCAAAGCGGGATGTTCTGCCATATTTACATCGACCTTCCACCTACAGAGAACGCCCCCCCCCCGGCGACACCAGCACGGTGGGCAATGGGGAGGGAGGGGGGACAGTAGATCCCGTGTGCTCGGGGGTATCCGTACGCAGCGTAAGATGACACAGGCTGTAGTGCGTGGGCAGGGCATCACAGAAACATTAGTGTTAAAAATTCAGCAGTATGACTTGTGTACAAACAAAGCAGGCCCACGTTCAGAATCAATTTAACACAAAGACCATCCCATCCCCCCCCCCCCCAAGAGATACATATTCACCATATACAACAGCCCGCCCGTCATCCCCCGAAAATAACATACAACACAATTAAGGCTAACCATGGTCTTTGACAAAATTAAATAAAATCAAGAGCATCAAGCATTTTGGCCGGCACTTTCACATCAAAATAAAGTCTGAGGATCCTCCAAATAGGTATAATAGAGCAGTTTGGGGCCAAGGGGGGAGGGGTGCATGTTTATTAGGGGCCAAATTTGAAATGTAACATCAACAGTAGAGTGAAGTCTCCAGTTGGCCACAGAACGTCGTCCATGGATTATTCCAGATCATATCTTCCTGCCAGGATAGCGGCGCCCACGCGCACGTGTATGAAAGATAGACATTTAAAAATGTACATCAATGACAGTGTCAGGAATAGTCGAAACTCACTGAGCCAATACTGCGCAGATACAGAAAACAAAAAGCATTCACCAGGAACCAAAAATGGAAAAAAAAATCCCATTTTTATGCAAAAAAATAGCTAAAAAAATACTTCCATTGACTTTTTTGAGATGGTGGGTGAGAAGTTTAAGGAGATTCCGTTGGAGTCTGAGACGGTTCTGCATAACGTGCTGTGCGAGGAAATGCTGCATGTCCAACGGCTCCGGTGTTCTGGATTTGGTGTCAAAGTCCGATATGAAAAGGCATCTTCTGCTTCCCTGGATATGACAAGAGGCACACATGTATATTGATTTAAATGATGAAAGTAGCTTAAATAAAATGTTGATGGAACAATGAAAGCCTTGCAGCTGATAAAAGGAATAACACCTTCGTCACTACAAATGAAACCCAAGATGACGGAGCAGGATCCGTCCCCATGCATCGTGATATCTACTCATAAATTAAATGGTTTTCATCTAAACAAACAGCAAATACTGTGTCATAACACAGGCTAAATCTTCAATTTATCCTTCTAGTCAGACTGCCTTACTCTATCTATCCCCACTGGGGGTTTGGGGGGGGGGGGGCATTTGAACAGCTGAAGTATGTAGTCAGCTGTGTAACATGGACGTGGCAGAGAAACAGCTAGATAAAAAATGACCAACCCTGCTAACAGAGCCAATACCAAGAGAGATCCAGTGACTCTGGATCTGCAGGCCGCAGCCCAACCCAGGACCCCACCCGTCTCTCCAAACGCCTGCTATACCCACCGTGCCATCGCAGAGGGGTGGAGGTGCCGTCTACACTGCCAGCTTCTGATTTTCTTCCAGTTTTCTGCTCTCCTCCGAGGTCCCGGATTCTTTCTCTCCTGTCTTCCAACTGCCTCGTCTAGAACGACACGTTTGGCTTCCTCATCAAAGAATACAGGTCAGGATATATACACTTAACACTAAGGGGGGGGGGGGGGGTGTAAAATGGGGAAAGCTACACAGTTGTTAACGTCAGGGGTGATTCTAGGATTTTCTAAGTAGGGAGCATAAGAGGGACCTTAATTCATACAGATGGGCCACCCTTATTAGCCAATGATATGTTTTGAATCAGTGAGTGACAGGGCCAGAGGCACTACAAGAGCCAATCAGCTTTCAGCTAGGGTCAGTGTCCCTATGGTCCCACCCCTGCATACACCCCTGGTTAATGGCTTTTTGCAAAGAACTATATACTGGTATCAGCAGGTCACCTACTTTGACTTCTTTATGTATATCCAGTAGAGCAGGCCCACAACGCCTGCGGCTAACAGAAGGCCAACCACAACCCCGACAATCAGCTTGGCCTGGTCGTCCGCGTCGTCCGCGCTGCCTGAAAGAGTGAAAGTGAAACGTCAGCACACCGTCCAAAAGCAACCCTCGCCCACCTCATTCCCCCCCCGGGAAACGCCACCGCGCCTTTAGGGGAAGGAGACCATGTCGGTGGAAGGGAAAAGGAAAACACAGGACACATGGGGAAATGGTGCGGCTGAGTGACAGGCCTGGCGAGTGCGTACAGACCCACTAAAAGTCCGTTAGCGTGCGGAACGGCTGGCAATGGGGTGGATAAGAGAGCTTTTCGGATTGGTCGGGCTGCTCTAGATTGCCCAATCGACTGGATGCTAACACCCACACCCGATCAGAGACGGCGCTACTGAGCGACGCCACAATTGTGAGGCTAAAATTAACCAGCCAATAATCACGGTCCCAGTGATCAACTATACGCTTTACAAGATTACAGATCGCTTTATAGCTGCCGGGGATAAACCCTGTTTTGTTTTGTCACTCAGGGTTGCATGTTCACACTAGGTCTCGTTTAACTGAGAAAAGAAAAGTAACTGTTAAACAAAACAAAATAAAAACCTTACCTTCTCGCTTCCCGCTCTCCTCCCCAATTACTGAAATCAGATATAAAATGAAATTAAATTCCAGATATATGGCAAAGAAGTATCACTCGTTCAACCATCCATCCATCCACTCAGGGTATCATAAGGAAAAGAAAACGATCTGTAATCATCTGTTTTTCAGAGATGGGGTTTTTCATGAGGTAAACCCCTACTACTGCACTACCACAAACACAAAATAGCAGAGTCATGTGACCTCTGGAGATAAATCTGAGGAAAGAGGTTGGGCTTTGGGGGGGGGGGGGTGTCCAGCAGCCCAGCAAAGCAAGAAACAAAAACAAAAAAGGGACAAATGTCGATGGGGAAGATGTTTCAACAAACAGTGGGTGGGAACATCGACCTGAGGCCTTACCGGCTTCACCTCGGAAGTCCCGTCCGAGTCTCATGGCTACTTCACATCACATTTACGGCAAACCACCCCCCCACAGAAAATTTCCCAGATAAAGTGAGTGGGCCAGCCCCCAACAGCACTACAGAACACAAGCGAAAAACCCTGCTAATCTAGTTTAGTCTCAAAGAATTAGGGCTGAGACCAAAGAAGGGTTACTGTGAGGTCTTGTCGCTTTTCTGGTCTTTCGAGTGGATCGAGTCGCAGTGAAGACCCCCGCCTGTCATCCAGGCCAGTGGGCGGTTAGGTGGAGAGGGTGGAGCTTAGCGTGACCTACGGGGTGGGGAGGCTACTTACGGGATGACACATTAATGGTCTGCATGTGCTCTCCGAGTTTGTTGGACACCATGCATGTGACTGTGAGGTTCTCAGCAGGCACCACTGTGAGCTTGTGTATGAGCTTCCCATTGACGTAGCTACTCTCCTCCTGCAAAGAAGAAACAATTGCAGAAACACTTCAGAGGCCTCCTTATGCCGGCTGCTAGCATTTGCATTAGGTCCTTTTTTGAGGGAAAAAAAAATCAGCCAAGCGGGATCACAGTCAGGCAGCGATATTAAAAACGCAATAATGAAAAATAATGGCACCTGTTATATTAAGAGCATAGGTCACGTTTCTATAGTGCAACTACATGCAGGGGTTCAGCACGATATCTCAGCCATCATTTAAAACCGTTGACTATTGTGGCTCTCTGACAATATTGCAAGTTAATAAAGACTGGATCGCTGTCTGATAGTTCTTCAGCATTCCAATAAACTTCACTTTGAATTCCTGCATTGGCAGTTTGCCGCCACTAGGGGCTGCTGTAGCTCTTTGGTCGCCTGCAATGCATTACATGGCGGACTTGACATCCGCTGGGCCACACCCGGCTTGGGTAGCAAACAAGGTGATATAACAGGGTGGTGAAAGCAATCGGTGCCGACTAGCTGCAGCCTCTGCGGCTCAGAAGCCACTGGGTGGAGGTAATGAATCCAGTAAAAACATTTATGTAACCTGTGACAATCTCTCTCCCTATTTCCAGGGGTGTGGGGGGTTTGGGTGCTTGCTGAAGCTTTTGCCTTTTTTCCCCTTGAGCGGGAGAGAAAATATGCGCTGGGTGTCCATTAACACGACTCTCCGTGCCTGACTTTATCAGGAGACCAGGCCCGTGCTGTTAGCAGGAGCAGCAAACGGCCTACAGACGGGTGATGGATGAACCAATGAAGCCGCTCACTACGTCTCCTGAAGACTAATGGCGGTTGCTTCACAACAGCAGGGCCCATTTCAGCTGGGGGGGGGGAGCAGTGCATTGACCCCCCCCCCCCCCCCCCCCAACTCAGTGCCACATTCCCAAACTTCTGCCCTATGATCACCTTCCTCCTCTTTCATCTCATCTATTCTGCATTAAATTAAAGGCAACCTCACACTGGGCAACCGTGCCCAACGTGGTCGAGGCTCTGCTGAAGCCATAACCCAGAGTTTGATGGAGCAAAGCCATCCTCTGCGGTTTGTTCTCTGGGGGTGATACACGGCACAGTGCGATGCAGACGCATCACGAGACTGAAGCTCAGAATGAATGTGACGCTCTGAATAATTTGTTTAGCTCAGATGTTTTGACAGCCATGGTCTGAGAATTCCACACATCACGACAGTCCGAGTCCAGGTTTCTGTTTCTCAAAACCTTCATGTTAGTAACTCCCCTGGGGTGCGGTGCCTGTGATCGGAAGGTCGCTAGTTCAAATCCCAGGGTTGGCAGAGTGATTTCACCCGATTGCCTCAAGGACTGGCTGGCCATGCTTTCTCAAAAAATATATGTCACTTTGGGTAAAAGCAGATTCTAAAAAAATTAAATGTAAATGTAATATAAAATGCGTCAACCTGCCAATGTAACACCCCCCCCCCATACCATATGAAAGGCTTGTAGCTACATCTCTCACACACTTAACATTCCCCCCCCCCATTGAAATGTCACCCCTCTGATCTTTTTCCTTTCATTAAATCACCATCCAGTCCGGCACCCCTGGCGCGACTCAAACCCCCGCATTCTGATAGGGTTTACACAACGGCGCAAGGCATTCCGGCATCTTCTTTTAAGCCGAAGTGCATCCGGCATTGTTCCGACCGCGTCTTACAGACGGTCTGCTGTCGTGCATCTCTCCAGCCCACATAAAAGTGTCTCCAGGTGTTCAATAATGCATGAACTCACATAAAGGAGGTAATAAAATAAAAAAATCCAAAAAATTCAACAACATGAACAAAAGGAAAAAATAAAAAAATAAAAACATCAGTGCAATAACCAGGAAATTTCATATAAACGATGTATAAAAAGCACAGAGAACTTACCTTGATCAGTTTACTCTTTTCTAGCACTTTGACTTTGTCTTTGATTTGTGGTGGTGAGGGTGTCTCTGCAGAAACACACAATCACGTGAGGATTCCTTAAATGACGGCTTGTCGCACATGTAACCGCGGCATACTCATGTATTGACGCACAACCACAATAAACGCTTGTGCCAAAGATCATGGTGAACGGCTTCCTGCGAGCCCCCTCAGATCCCTTTCACCACGTCGCCGGCTGATGTTTACACACCGAGCACCAGCATATCTACCATTCTGGCTTTAATCCGCCCACTAGGCCCTTTCATCTTTAATTCAAAGCTCTCTCTTGTGCCCTTGAGGCTTGCCGGCCAGGTGGCTACAGACCCCCCAGCGGCTGTGTTTACCTGATCACTGCCTGAGGTCTGGGGGCCCCCTGTTGGCCACAAACAGTCGCTACACTAGGGGGCCTCAAAGTGACTTTTTGAGTCCTAGAAACAACAAATCTGGCCCGGTGATCAACGCCTTCCAGGGATGGACTCTGGAGGCAACTTGTGCGATTTTAATTCCACAAGGTGAGCAGTACTATACTTACTGTAGACCTGCACTTGGGTGCTGAACATCTCTATGTCCGTCTCGCCGACATTGATGCAGGTGAAGGTCTTCTGGTCAGCGAGTGTCGCTCGACTGATGAGGAGGCTGAAATTACTGGCCATGTTCACCCTGTCCTTGTAGATGCCTGTGGCCTGGATGGTCACCTCGTCTTTCTGCGACTGCTTCACCAGGAGGTCCCCATTACTGCCATCATCCTTTTCCTGCAACACCATGAGAGGAAAAGATTAGACGTCCATCAGTCACATTTGATCATGTCAATGTTTGAACTGACCATCTGATTTTACCCTGTAGTGAATTTTATGATGTTTCTTGCTTTGATGAGTTTTTTTTGCAATGAAAAGGTAGTTGAAAATGATTTTAGTAACATATCGAGAGAATTAAGAGAACTAACTTACATATGTCCATTTAGTGAACATGAGGTTGGCTGACTTGGTGCCTCTCGTAGGGTTGCATGGCACGACGATCGTCTCACCATACAGGGCTGTGATGGTCTGTAAACTACTGACTAAAGAACAAAACAGACAAAAGAAGCATTTCAATAACAGCCGGGGCACACAAAATGGAGTTCAAAGACATTCTCACTTACTCTGAATTTTACCAGCTATGGTAAAACACTTTTTACACATTAAATAGTTATATTTGCATAGCACACGGCTGGTGCGGACTAAATTCTGAATGGTCTGCTCTGCACCTCAACTCGGGTGGTCTTCAAAGTCTCTCTCACTCTCTCTCTCATACACACACAAACACACAGACAGCACAAAGGCCACCACGTCCATTCAGAGAAGACTGCCGGATATTGGGGGCCAAACACTTTCCCTCTCTCTGATCAAACTGCAGCTATGTGACAAACAGACTTCCTATCCCCTTCGAAATGATAGATGTTTTTTAATATGAATGTTGCTCTAAATGTGCTGCCGGCTTCCACTGCGGCATGATGATGATGGAAAGGTAACGTTTGCGGACTTAGGCGGCGAGCCACTCGCCGTGAGGAATCGCCGCTTCCCCTGTGGAAAATCGTATTTATGGGATGTTATTTCTGTGCTTCCCCCTAGCCCTGGATTCAACCGTCCCATAAGTCTTGCCATCTAAAACAGGCGGGGGGAGGTCAGTCGGGGGTCCGACCGCCAAGCTGATCAGAGGACGGTAACTGACGCTCCGGCATCACAGCTCTCAGTCAGAAATCACAGGGAAGCTTTTCATCAGTCTGGAGAAACAGCCGTAAATGCCATTTTTTATAGAAGAGATCCATGTTTGGCTGGGACAGAGTCTCGGTGACGGCGGCTATCCCCCCCCAATCCACCTGAATAAATATATTTCCCTGGGCAATGGCCGGAGCCCTCCAGAGTGGTTGCCATGGAGACAGAGCCGTGCGAGCCGGGGCGTCAGGGATCTAGCCGTGAATATGACGGGTCGGTGGAGCGAGGTCAAAGGCTTCCTCCACGGTGCGCCCGTTTCCATTAGCCGCTCCGGTACGAGAATGAGGAGCTCGGCGTGGCGAGTGGGGATTGAGCGCGCTCAGTGTGCATTGACGCTACAGACAAGTAATAATGGGGATACAGAAACAGGCGCCGTTCAGCCCGACTCTTCTGACACGCTTACGTTTTCCTCCTCGGTTTGTGAAACGGCGACAGGGAACAGACGTGCACTCGCACACAGACTCCGAAGGCTCCCCGTGGTCCAGCTTGCAGCTCCTGGGACTGTCTCAGCACCACATCAGGCCCATTAAAGAGGCCACCAAGTGGTGAGGGACAGATTGCCGCCCCCCGCAGATCGAAGGCTGTAACATGCTTGTCAGCCCTTTGATAAATATTCCCAGTTAGCTACTGCTTCACCTGGACGTACAAATAAAATACATCTAGCTAAATATAAATGGAAAAAAAAACTCTTGCCCAACAAAACGAGAAGTCCAAATGTTCCTTGAATATTAATTTATTTAAATTAAACCTATGAATATTAATCTAAAGACATTAAAACTACCCCAAAAAACAGAAGCATTAACATGCAGACTTAAAAAAGGACTATTACCACCTCAAATACTGGCCAGAGATTTTGGTGGATGTCAGAATAAGGCCGTGGGGAAACTGAACTGGTATTACTGGATAACGGGACCATTAAAGTGCAGGGCTGGTACATCTGCTCCGTCGAGTCCCCGCTGACTTATCTACGCATTCAAAAGCGAAGCAGGACCGTGAAGTGATTCCAAAAGTCCCCCTGCGCAATTTGCTGCCTTGGAACCATAAAAATCGCTGTGGCACCCAGGCACGGGGAGGGGCATCAGGTGCCCTATGGGTAACATTAAAATGTTCTCCAGTCATTCCGGAATGTTCTGCTGGCTAATGGCCGTGCGTGAGCTAAATCACACCATCAAATAAAGAAATAAATCACCAGTGGAGTCATAAACATAAAACAGTGGACCTGGGGCACGTAGGCGAGATGGGCCTTCAGCCCGCGCCCACATATAAGCCCCTCCTGATGGGGGCGACGAACAGACAGGGAGAAAGCTGGGGACACGAGGCGGGGTAAACAAAGGCATCTCGCTGCTAGCTGCCTGCTACCTGCCACCTGGGTGGGCAGGAAGACAACAGGTAATCAGCCACGAGGCAGCCCTGCAGTATCCGCTAAGGGTGGGGGGCGGAGGGCAGTAAGGCAGAAGGTGTCATGGGTCTTAACAAGCCCTATCCAGAAATATCCATCCGGGAGCCTGTGCTGTGCATTAATGTCCACGGAAATACTGTCAAAACACTGCACCTTATATTCCAGCGCGAAAGCACGAACCTAATACCACCCCCCAGGTCTTTCAACGCCAAGCCAGGGGAAGGTGAGCGCGTTACTTTCCCAGCATCCCTCGCTGTCAGCAGCCACGGCTCATGCTAATCATTTTCAGACATACAAGAAGTATGTATAGAAACTTTAACACCCCCCCCCCCCAGACAACACGCAAACACACACACACACCGTCAGTCCGTCTCCTCTGAGATCTGCGGCTCTGGTATTAGATCTTTGCACCAAATGACCCATCAGCAGATACAAGCGCAACGGTAATGTGTAACAGCCAGGTGTGACGGCCAGGTGTGACGCCCAGGTGTGACGGGGACAGAGCTGAGTGTAAATGCCAGGGGCTGTTTATCCTGCTATTTAAAACGCTCAAGATGGATTAGTGAAGGCGTGTCTGACGAGGGGAGCGAAAATAGCGGAAGGTTGCTACGGGAATGAACGGTAAATATGCGGAAAATGCTGCAAAGTTGCAGACTGCATCTATGCCTTCCTAAGCATCCTGTATAGGAGGTAAAAGATGGGTTAGCTGGCCAGACTGTATTTGCCCAAAGGGAACAATGGTGTGTGATGTTAGGCGAGCCCCATGCAGCTCTGGGGTGTGACGCTTGGGATCACGCCGGTCATCAGGGCCGCGATCCCGTGCACGGTTTCAGGTTTCCCCATTGTTCCCACACTGAATGCTTCACCTACTGATTAACTTCCTTTAAAACCTCCCTGGGGAGATAACACACTTTGTCTGTGGCCATAAATGTAATGATTTATCAGCGTACTGGGCAGCATTAAAGAGGAATGAAATGCGGCACTAAATCCTAAACCCAACATCAAGTAAAGTAACGGGACATCTATTTAAAACCATTACAACCGAATGTGGTAATTAGCACTGCGGCCCAAACGTGTTTTTTTTATTGATCATTGACTTGGACAATAAATAAACCGAACATGGCAGTAAAATTCACGGTTTTAGCACGAGTCTAAAGCAGCTTTTTTTCCCTCGGAATCATGTCACCAGATTCATTTTTAGAAGGATGCTGGTAACACCAGGCAAGTCGCTGACACAAAGCGATTTACGCTGTTACACTTCGAAGGGGGGGGGACAGGGATAGGGAAGGGGGGGGCAAGTTGTCAACTGGATGCCATTTTCGTCCATCTCCCCTTTTAATACCGTTAAAATACTCTCAGGCTTTATTGTGACCTTGGGTTCAGACCCTTTAAAAAGACAGATGCCTTTCACAGGAATTGCCCATGACAAACGAAGGACCCCCTGTCCCTTCCGGCGCCACGTCGCTGAGACGGCCTCCGTTGAGAGGAGACGACGTGCCAGACAGGACTCCTGTCAGAGCCGGAGTCAGCTGGTCGATTCGTCAATTTTTATCGAGTGTTGCTCGTGGTCACGGTGCCAGAAAACCATCCATCTTCTGACCGCTGCTGACCAGGGTTGAGGCCTCTATGCTACCCCAGAGGGCACGGGGCAGGGGAGAGGCTGAGGGCACGGGGCAGGGAAGAGGCTGAGGGCACGGGGCAGGGGAAGAGGCTGGGGGCACGGGGCAGGGAAGAGGCTGGACGGCATGCCAGTCCATCACAGAGCAGATAGGCACAAGCAGGAATTAGTAAACCAAGCAGAAGGCCCTGTTCCAAGACACGTTACCAGCATAGCAACACATTCTTTAAACTGGCACCACCCCCCCACCCCACGCCACCCCATAGCACTTAAATAGTAATAAAAAAAAATGGCTGCCACCCGTGAGGATGTGCGATGGTGCTCTTGGAGCTGAGGGGAATGCTGGGAAACAACATCAGCAGCCAACAGGGTGCCTTCCTGTGGGATTCCCTGCTACGCCGTCAACCTGCAGGAGGGGCCCACCTGGGAGGAATGGATCTGCTGCTAACGGGGGCTGCTTTACCCAACCCAAGAGAGTCCTGGGCAACTTCTAAAGGCTCTTCGAGGTTTAGGAAAGGAGCAAAACAACATGTCAAATAAAGCCTGGTATGCTATTTGCATAAGTACATGGACAGGTATACTGGAATGTCCCCCCCCCCCCATCTTGCTTTCTTGTTTATTTTTTCTAAGACAGGCACACTTACAGAGGTGACAGCGAAGCCTGGGGTCAGGGCACAGGGTCAGCTGTCCTTCCGCGCCCCCAGAGAATTTTTGAGCGGTTAAGTGCCTTGCTCAAGTGCTCAGCAGAGATGCGGCTACTCTGCCAGACAGGGGATTCGAACCGGGGACCTTCCCATCACAGGTTCAGAGGCCGAACCCGTAAATGTGATCTTCTTAAACTGCACCTCTTGTGGATATTTAAATAGCTCATGTCTGGATGAGAATTTGTTCTACACTGCCCCAACCTGCTACATTTTTGGTGCCCCCAGAGAGGGGGGAAAAGAAAAAAGAATGCATAAAATGACAAACTGAGTCAACACTATTGTCTTTAAACTGAATTTAATGAAATATTTTCGAATGAAAGAATTGTCACTAACGCCTAAGAAATCTCTGATGCGGGCTTAATGCCGATAAGATAACGTATTAGGCAGAATAAGGCATCTCCCTGACAGAGATTTCAATGCGACTAATCACACTGGCCCATAAATCCAGTAATGGCCCGGAATGACATTAAAAGCACATTTTCTCATAACACAATACTCAATGAAACTGCATTAGGACATATTGCGGCCGCATTACAAGATGGAGCATCTGTTGCAGCAATTTCCCCTTCAGATGCGCAGTCAGCT